GTGAAGGTCACACTAGTCAGGGGTAAAAGGTGCAAGAGGGTGCTGCTCACTGGGGTGTGTGACCAGGAGAGCTGTAAGCACTGGGCTGCAGAGTTTTCCCTTCTGCAAACAGAGTCGATTCTGCTGCTTGAAGAATTGGGCTGATCTGTGCAAGATTTGAAGTTGCCTCTGACTTTTTCTGTAAAGTTCTTTCAAGAAACTGATTTTGTAGCCCTGCATGTACAGTAACAGCATTAAGGCTTTACCCTCCGGAAAGCACATGGGAATTTTATTTAATGACTGCCATGTTTCTAATTTCATGGATGTATTACTGGTGGGAGCTCCCAACAGCATCCTGGGACATTAAATGCTGCTGATCACTGACCATGTTTTCTGCAGTGCCTTTAAGTGCATTTATCTGTTTACAGTGGTCTGACACCTGCACCTCCCTCGGTAACACCGGGCTGACGTAGCTTTGCTCCTGCTCTTGGCATTCCCAAATTCCACCTCAGAGGAAGGGGGGGAATCTCTTCCTGCTCTGAAGTGACTCCTCCAGCTGCAGCTCTGAGGTGATGGAGTGCCAGGAGTCCCCCGTGGCTGTAGTTCAGTGTCTGATTCTCTCCCATCTCCAGGTTTAGTTATTTCTCTAACATGTAGGAATAAAGCTGAAATTAATTTATGTAATTTGTAGTGATGAAACACAGCTTTTCTAGCAGCATCATTTCTATGAAATCGAGCTCGGAGCGTTACCCAAGAGCTACTCCTGCTACAGCCACTCTTCCTTGCCTTACATGTGTTACTTTTGCTTGCTCTCAGGCTGCTGAGTGCTTTGGGTTTCTTTTCTTGAATATTTCAGACTGTTCTGACCACCTGCCCATGTTGGATTTGGCCCAGAAGGGGCTGGGGAGGGTGATTTGGCTGCATGGTTGTTCATCCACTGCATGAGTCCCTGGCAGTCCCTGTTCCTGCCTCGCTCAGGGTCCTGGAGCTGATCCTGGTCCCAGGCAGGGAGCCCTGAGGGTGCTGCCACCACTTCCAGTCAGCAACTCTCCCCATCCCTTTGGTTTGTAAAGTTGAGGGAGTGAAATGTCTTCCCTGCAGGAGCATCTTCTGTCTTCCCTTGGGTTTCAGTTCCTTCTCCATCAGCAGCTCTGAGTTCCCTGGGAGGTGCTGCTGGGAGTTCCCTCGAGCTGCTGCATCTCTGGGGCCTGATGTTGCAGTCTCCTTGTTCCTTGTGCTCACCTGATTCAATAAAGTTATTACCAAATCTTTTTTTTTTTTCTATTCATTTTTAGCTCTTTATTGAAAATAAGTTGCAGTTGCTTACACAGACACCGAAAATACAGAATCACAGATTGTTCTCTCAAAAGATATTTTTATATATATAATATATACAAAATTGTAAACATTTTAAACTTATTTCCATACACAGTCCACTTTATACTACACTGCACAGAGGTTGGTGACAACTGCAACTCCTGGAAGCGTCTGCTTGGACAGAGGTATCTGCAAAGAAACTGCACTTCCCAACCCTCAGCTGGGAGCTGTTGGAGATTAAAACTCTTAAAGGAGCTGAGGTTTGAATGTGTATTGCAACAAAATCCAGGCAGCTGAACTGGGGGGTTCAAGTTGAGGCAGTGAGGGCTGGGTCTGAGCCTCACTGAGTGGGGAGAGGGGCTGGTGACACACAGAGGGGAAAAATGCAACTGAGAATGGGACCAGGGGGGACCAGAGCCACCCCCCTGGGGACAGCATGGGCTGGGAGGGGTCTGTAAAATACACAGCAGTTTTTACTGAGAGAAACAGCCACGGCATGGGATGATGATGATGGGATTTCCTAAGGAACAGCCCATGGCAGAGAGGGCAGCAGGCAGAGCCAGGAGCCAGCCCTGTGCCCTTGGGGGCTGGCACTGGGAGGGAAGGTACCAAAGAGCCCTGTAAGAGACTGGTGGGCAGGAGAAAAGAAATGCTGTGGGTGTCACTCGTTGTTGTGGCATCATCTGATGGGAATCTCATCCCAGTGCCCAGGAGCAGTGAGATCCCAAATGATGCCCTGTCAAGGGAGGGAGTTTGCTCTCAGGGTCTGCTGCAGCCCCTGACACACAGCAGGTAATGCAGGGGGAAGGATATATTTTACTAAACATCAATTAAGCAAAGCTTCCACCTTTGCTAGGAACAGCTTGAAATGTTGGCAAAAATTCCAAATCTTTTAATGTACTTGAATTGCACAGTGCATGATGTGGTGACCTCAGTGCTGAGAAACAGAGGTGATGTGACACAGCCTCCCAGAGCAAGAGGCTGGAGCAAAATGCAGCTCCAGGAAAGGCAGAGCGATGGAATTCTATGTTTTACACCCAAATTCAGTGCTAACATTGTGCAGAAGCTTTTGGGATGGGCTGAGCACAGTGAGGTCCTGCCCTCTGTGAGCTCGAGGTGCTGCCGACCTCAGGGGAGAACAGAGGGGTAGAAACAGCTTGTGAGGATGGCAAACCCCTGTCACGCTCAGGACAATCCTGGCATGGCTTTGGGACAATTCTGGGACAGCCCTGGCATCCTTTTAGGACGTGGTTACAAGGGGGTGAGTGCTGCTGTAGCACAGCTGGGAGAAAAAGAGGAGAAAAGATGGAAGTGGACGTTCCAAAGGCTCAGCAGCCCACGGTTACTGCTCTGGCTCTCCTTGGGGTGTGCTCAGTGCCACCCCAGCTGCACCCCCTGCTCTGCCTGATGGCACAGGGCACGGTGCCACCCAGCAGCTCTGGGGACACTGGGGGGGCTCCCAAAGGATTCAGGGCAGGATTCCAGGCACGGCTCTCACCCTCCCTCTGAGCGGGGCTGAACTCAGAAGGGCCAGGGCTCCATCAGGCCGGGGAGCTGCACCAGCAAACCCCAAAACGGGGTTTTTTGAGTCAGGCTGAGGTGGGTGAAGGCTCTGGCCACGGCCAGGGAGGTTGGGGTTGTCCCCTCCTGCCTGGTGACGCGCATTGGACACAAACCCAGCGCTATTCCCTGGAAAAACGCTCCAGCTGTGGGCTCCTGCCTGCCCGAGCTGCCCATCCCGGTGCCATCCCAGCAGGGCTGGCACCCTGCGCTTTGGGCACAGGGGACCAGGGCTCACCTCCCTCCAGGTGCCTGCTGAGTGAGGCTGGACGTGTTATTCCAGCTCTGCTTTAATCAAGGAACATCTCCTGCTCTGCCAGGAAGCCCCTCAGGCACCTGAGCCTTCCTCCTCCTCCTCCTCCCTGCCCAGTGGAGCAGCTGCAAGGAAAAGACAACGCTGACTTTGGGAAGCCGAAGCGACCCTCGGGAGGCACCAGGAGTTGTGCTGGTGTCGTCCCCGTGTCCCTGCTGCTGCTGCAGAGCTCAGAGCGTGGTGGGATGTGCGTGTGGGGGCAAAGAAAGGCAATGCAGGCCTCGGGGGGACATTCAGAGCGTGTAATATTCAGCACGGGGGGCACACGGGGCAGGACACGTCCTGCAGGCAGACACAGCTTTAGCTCTTTACAGTTACACAGAAACTCTGGAACAGTTATGTTATAGTTAGAAAAAATACACTGTACCCAACGAACATTATCTCACATACAATCAATTTAAACATTTAAATTGATTATAATTTTGCTAAAATATTAACACAAGTACTGTTTGTGCTGCTAAAGTTTCAGTGTTCCCTCTAAGGAAAATATTGCTACAGTTCTACCGTACCCTGTATTAAACTCCTCGGGGTTTTTTCCTTTCCCAGCAAAACCGACTCCACAAAACCACAGAGATTCCGGAATTCATTGAGGCTGACACTGCACTGGGCTGGGGTGTCCGTGGTCAGGCACCTGTGGGGAGCTGGGCACAGCCAGGACCTGGAGCCAAGGCAAGGAACGCGCTTCGCCACCGGCAGTGACCTCTCGGGATGATTGGCTGCTTAATTAGCGTATTTCCCTGCTGCTGATTAATTAGTGCGCTGATCTGTCGCTCAGCAGCAGGAAGGAGCTGTGGCGTGGTGACCAGGACCTGTGGCAGGGAGGGGACAGCTGGTGGCTATTGCTCCTCACGAGGTCGGAAGGCAGTGGTGGCTTTGCCGGCACCAACAGGCAAGGCAGGACCCCGGAGTGCCGGGAGAGCCGGAGTCTCCAGGGATGGAGCTGCCACCAGCAGGGCTGGGAATTCAAGTTTCAGCTCCTCTGCTCAGCCCTTATTGACACAGCCTGGATCAGCTGCCACACGGGCAGGGAAAGCTGGCAGGTGGCTGACAAGGACCTCATGGATTTTACACATTCCGGTCTTTTCTTTGTCCTTTGCCGCTGAACCCCCAACCTGAGCCTCTTTCCTGGATGCTTTTCACTGACTCTCTTCCCACACCATTTCCAAACACGGGGCCGTGAGCCCACACAGACTCTAAAGGCCTGTGAAGCCTTTCCAGTTCCCTGCCTGAATCCCTCATTTCTGGAGGCTGCAGGGTGACACACGTGTCTCCACCTGGGCTTCTGCCGCAGCTGACAGATGGTGGCTGCTCCCAGAATTAAAATACAAGTCCAATTTTCCTCCTAATGGCCTTGGACATAGAGTCTGAGCCCCTCACCTCGGTCCTCACCTCTCCAGGGTGAGGATGTGTCAGCGCTGCCATGCAAAAATTCCTTAGGAATTTACAAACTTCCCAATCCCCCATGAAGAAACAGAACCTCAAAGCGCCGCATTCCCACTGATCACAGGCTGTTCCCGGTTAGCAACCAGCTCCTGCTGCTTTCCACTTCCAAACAGGAATGTTTTAAATCCTCAAGCAGAACCTGCTGGAGCATAGAAGCAATCTGGATACTGATCCCAACCCTGGCCTGCTGTGCCCCCCCTGCCCGTGCCTCTAAACCAAGTTTTGAAACACCTGTTTGGATATTTTGTTTTGTACAGCAAATATATACAAAGAAAAATAACACAGACACCGCTGATTTCCCTGTGAATTTGGCACTTTCCATGGAACCTGGACTGGGAGCAGACAGGGCCAGCTTTCCCCACTGCCCACCCACCCTCGATGGATTCTGTGTTAGCTCTGGAAGAACGAGATCATAATTCCTCTGCTGTTTTCTAAGAGGAAAAGGCGTCCTGGGCTTCCCCAGCAGAGCTCAGAGGGGGCATTTCCTCCTCTTCCCCACGTGTAGGTGATGTGGTACCAACCTTCCTTCCTCCTGGCTTAGAGGGAACACTGCTTTTAGAAACCCTGGGACAGGTAAGACAAGAACCAATACCACTGTACAGAATTCACTGCACAACGAGCTAATAAAGGGACCCGGCGCTGACTCGCCACGGCAGGGAAACGGGACCGGATACATTTGGGACTGGGCAGGGGTGGCAGCGCCCCAGCCCCTCAGTACGCTGGCACTTGGTAACCTTTGGGGTTGGGCTCTAAGGTCTCGGTGAAGGGGGGGCTCTGGTAGGTCTCCGTGCTCTCCACGCCGCTGCCGCCGGGGTAGCCGGGGTAGGAGGCGCTGGGGTCGGTGCCGAACTGCTCGGTGGCGAACAGGGACATGTCCGTGCCCAGGCGGTACCGCTGCAGCGCCCGCAGCGCCAGCACCACCTGGGACAGCGAGGGACAGCGAGGGACAGCGTCACACAGGGCAGGGCTGCAGCCCCACGGCACCCCGTGTCACCCCAGAACCCACCCGGGGCTCCCCAATCCTCCCAGGGCTCCCCAGTCCCCACAGGATGCTGTGTCTCACCAGCATCACACATCACCCCAGGACCCCATCTCCTCCCTGGATCCCCCAAACCCCCAGCACCCCATATCCCACCAGGACCCCATCTCCTCCCTGGATCCCCCAAACCCCCAGCACCCCATCTCCCCCCTGGACCCCCGAACTCTCAGCACCTCACATCCCCCAGGACCCTGCACCCCTCCAGACCCCACATCCCCCCAGCACCCTACACCCCCCATCTCTCTGCAGAGCCCCCCAGGGAGCTGCCACCCCTCTCCATCACACCCAAGAGCTAATCCAGCCCCAAAGCCCAGCCCAGCACCCCCATTTCTGCCGGACAGGGTGACCCCCAGAGCTCTGCCAGGGGTGGGGGGCCCTGGCTGTGCAGATCTGGCACTGCTGGCCCAAATAAACGCATCTGCTGTGGGGAGGGAGAGCTGCGAGTGCCAGCCCAGGAAAATGGGTCAGTTCTGCCGAGACTCCTTCACCCTTTTCCAGGTTGCTGGAATTGAGGTTGTGAACGGTGGGAAATGTGGGCGGCAAAGCCGGGAGGGCCCCGCGCTCATTCCAGGAGGCTTCATTAACAAGTCAATTAGTTTGTAAATGATGCGCTGAGGAGGCTAAAAAACGCCTGTAGAAGCCAGGAATGGCTTCCCAAGCATCCCGGCCATCCTTTGGGATGTGACAGGGGGCTGGTGTCCCCACCGCCCTCCCGGGGAGGGAGCAGATGCTGATGGGATGGGGAACATCCCACCCACCGCCCTTCCCTGTGGCAGCCGAGGATGGGGAAGAGCTGGGATTAAAAGAGATTTATTGGGATAATCATAAAGCAGGGAGCAGTCAAACTCGGGGAGAACTGGAGCAAGGCTCGCTGCTGGAAAGCCTCGGACTGGCTTTTGCCCCAGTTCTTTGAAGGCAATATGGAATTAGAGCACATCCCGGGGCTCTGTGCCCAGGAAAAGCCGGGGGAGAGCAGGAGGTAACACATCCCTGCCTCTCCACAGAGCCTCTGGAGAAGGAGCCCCCCCGGCCAGCTGGGTCCAGGTGGGTTTCACACAGCCCTGCCTGAAATCCCTCTGCCCAGGTGGAGCCAAAAATGGGAGCAAAGGGAGGTTCTACAAACCCCTTCCCCAGGTGGATGGCAGAGGGGCCAGTGTGGCTTGTCCCAGGAGGGAGCTGATGAGAGCTCCCAAAATCTCCCAGGCATCCCACAAAGAGCTCAGCGCAGGGATCTGCTCCTGGGGACTCTCTGCCACCCTGGGGCTCCGAGGAGGCTCTGAAAGCAGGGCAGCTCGTGCCTGGCCACACGTTTTCAGTGGGAACAAAACCTCCCAGCCTCGGGAGAAAGGGAAGCCTGGAATTCCCCAGTGAGAGGGGACCGAGCTGAAGCTTCCCTAGTAAATAACCACCAGCTCCACGCCTGGAGGGTCCCCTGCAGCCCCAGGATCACTTCTCCAAACCCCAGAGTCCCCCTCCAGCTCAGCACCACCCTGGGCAGGTTTCAGTTCCCCTCCAGCCCCGGGGCTGCCCTCACCCAGATGATGATGGAGAAGAAGGAGAAGGTGATCGCTGCCCGCGCCGCGTCGGCGCCCTGTGAGAAGCCCCTGGTCAGCGTCGTCCTCTGCCACTGGTTTGCCAGGAAGCAAAAAGCTACAAACCACAGGAAGGCCAGGAAACCTGCAGGAAAACAGAGCTGGTCAGTGCTGCCCCTGCACACACCACCCAGGATTCCAACAGGAACGGGAATTTCGGGAGCCGTGGCCCAAAAGGAGCTTTTGAAAAACAAAAACAAAGGTGGAAGGAAACTTGTGGGGTCATCTCGGTGTGTTGCCTGCCTGAAGTTCAGCTCAGCTACTCCTCAATGTGATCTCAGTGACCCCCAGGGACAGCACATCCTCCCTGGACATGCTGGAGAGGCACTTTGCACAAGGGCACTGAATAACAGGACAAGGGGAAATGGCCTTAGGCTGAAGGAGGGTGGATTTACATTGGATACTGAGAAGAAATTCTTCCCTGTGAGTGTGGGGAGGCTCAGAGCAGCTGGGGCTGCCCCTGGATCCCTGGGAGTGTCCCAGGCCAGGCTGGACAGGGCTTGGAGCAGCCTGGGACAGTGGGAGGTGTCTGTGCCCATGGCAGGGGTTGGGATGGGATGGATTTTAATGCCCCTTCCAACCCAAACCAGTCTGTAATTCCCTGATTCCAGGACACGTGAGAGCTCTGCAGAGAATCCCCCTGGGCCTGTGGAACGGAGCAGAAACACTCTGGTGATTATTTGATTATTCCTGCCTGGAAGCAAAGCTGGCTGAGCAAGATAGGGCTGCAGCTGCCCTAATTCCATCCCCAGCCACCAGCCCGGTGCCAAGGAGCTCCGGGAACAGGAGAGGAAAAGCCAGGAGCAGCAGCAGGGGCGTTTTCCAGCACTGGGAAGAGGAGCTGCACAATCTGGACCCTCCCATGGTGCTGTTTTCAGGGTCTCCATCATTCCTGATGCCTCGGATTCTGGGTGTCAGTGCACACGTGGATGTTGGGAATGCTGGAATGTTGGAATTCCCAGCAGCTTCCAGGGATCATCAGCACAGCAGGATGAGCAGCCAGGCTGCCAGTCCCTGTCTGACTGCAGGGAGAGGAGAGCCTTCCCTTATTCCCTTTTATTCCCATTTTTCTTGCCAGTTATCCCTAAATACAACATAAAATGCCTGGGAGCATCCACACTGAGTGCTGGAGGTACAGGGCTCAAGGCCTTGAATTCAGAATTTGTTCCTAATTTCCACATTCTTTGGGAATTCCCAACCATCAGGGCTGCCTTGCAGGAAGGATCAGGTTTCCTGCTCCAAATTACAGACACTTCACCAAATACAGCCACTCCTGTCACCAAACCCACCCAAATCTCTGCATAAGCATTTTCACTTCCCTTGGGGACAGTGACTCGTTGCCAGCATTAGATGAGACCTCTGGGATTTACTCCTTAAAGGTCACATTGTAATATCCCTTAAATTCAGGGATATTTTCTGTTGCCCTGCTGCTTTACCAGCAGCTGTTCCTGGCATGGGAGGCAGCTCCAAGCCCTGCACTCAACCTCAGCATTGATAATCACACTGGGGGTAGTTCAGAAGTCAAAAGCCCAGAGGTGAAACAAGAGCAGCTCCCAAAGGTTGATTCACACCGTGGGAGCAGCAGGATGGCTCAGGGACAAGGCTGGGGACACAGGGCTGGCACAGGGGACACAGGGATGGCACAAGGGACACAGGGATGGCACTGGGTACACTCAGGGACAAGGCTGGGGACACAGGGCTGGCACAGGGCACACAGGGATGGCACAAGGGATACAGGGATGGCACTGGGTACACTCAAGGACAAGGCTGGGGACACAGGGCTGGCACAGAGGACACAGGGATGG